TTATTATATGTTTGGTTAATATTAGGTTATGTTATGGGTTGAATTGTGTCCCCCCAAAATGATATGTTGAAGGCAGAACCCCCAGTACCTCTGAATGTAATCTTATTTGGAAAGAGGGTCATTGCAGATGTAATTAGTTAAGATGAGGTTATACAACAGTAGGGTGGGCCTTAGTCCCATAGGATTGGTGCCCTCTTAAGACGAGAACAGATACAGACCCACGGGGGAGAGCGCCGTCTGATGCCATAGGCACAGACTGATGCACTGCAGTGCAATCAAGGCAGGCCAAGGACTGCCAGCAGCCTTCAGATGCTCAGAGAGCGGCGAGGAAGGTTCTCCCCTACAGGTTTCCGAGGGAGCCTGGTCTTGCCAATACCTTGATTTTGGACCTCCAGCCTCCAGAACTGGGAGACAATGCATTTCCGTTGTTTTAAGCCATTCGGTTCATGGTCCTTTGCGCAGCCCTAGGAAATAAATACAGCCACTTCCCTCTCTGTTTAGTCTTCCCAGCTCAGCCTCAGAGGTGCATGTGCAGGTGCGTCCATGAGGTGTGTGTTTAAGGAAAAACCGAATTGTGTTTTCAGGCGGTGTGGGAGTTAATCACTTACAGAAACACTTGGAGAAAGAGAAAACAAGTGTCAATGAGGATGTGGAAAAATGGGAACCCTTGTGCACTGTTGGTGGAAATGATGGTACAGCTGGTGTGTAAAACAGTATAGAGGTTCCTCAGAAAATTAAAAATAAAACTACATATGATCCAGCAATCCTACTTCTGTGTATATATCCAAAAGAATTAAAAGCAGGATCTCAAAGAGATCTTTGCACACTCATGTTCATTGCAGCATTATTCACAATAGTCAAGAGGTGGAAGCAACCCAAATGTTCATCAGTGAATGAATGGATAAAGAAATAAAATAAAATGTGTGGTATATAAACAGAAAGAAATATTATGCAGCTCAAAAAAAGGAGATCCTGTCACATGCCCCCAAATGGAGGTTTTTTGAGGACATGATGCTAAATTAAGTAAGCCAGTCACAAAAGGACAAATATTATATGATTCCACTCATATGAGGTATCTAAAGAGGTCAAAATCATAGAAATAGCGAGTGGAAAGGTGGTTTCCCAGGGCTGGGGGTAGGTGGGAGAGGAGGTAATGTTTAATGGTCATAGAGTTTCAGTTTTGCAAGATGAAAAAGTTCTGGAGCTCCATTGCACAGCAATGTGGATGTACTTGACACTCCTGGGCTGTATACTTGAAAATGTTTAAGATGGAAAAAAAATTTTTTTTAATAAATTTATTTATTTATTTACTTATTTTTGACTGTGTCGGGTCTCGTTGCTGCGCGCGGGCTTCCTTTGCGCAGCCCTAGGAAATAAATACAGCCACTTCCCTCTCTGTTTAGTCTTCCCAGCTCAGCCTCAGAGGTGCATGTGCAGGTGCGTCCATGAGGTGTGTGTTTAAGGAAAAACCGAATTGTGTTTTCAGGCGGTGTGGGAGTTAATCACTTACAGAAACACTTGGAGAAAGAGAAAACAAGTGTCAATGAGGATGTGGAAAAATGGGAACCCTTGTGCACTGTTGGTGGAAATGATGGTACAGCTGGTGTGTAAAACAGTATAGAGGTTCCTCAGAAAATTAAAAATAAAACTACATATGATCCAGCAATCCTACTTCTGTGTATATATCCAAAAGAATTAAAAGCAGGATCTCAAAGAGATCTTTGCACACTCATGTTCATTGCAGCATTATTCACAATAGTCAAGAGGTGGAAGCAACCCAAATGTTCATCAGTGAATGAATGGATAAAGAAATAAAATAAAATGTGTGGTATATAAACAGAAAGAAATATTATGCAGCTCAAAAAAAGGAGATCCTGTCACATGCCCCCAAATGGAGGTTTTTTGAGGACATGATGCTAAATTAAGTAAGCCAGTCACAAAAGGACAAATATTATATGATTCCACTCATATGAGGTATCTAAAGAGGTCAAAATCATAGAAATAGCGAGTGGAAAGGTGGTTTCCCAGGGCTGGGGGTAGGTGGGAGAGGAGGTAATGTTTAATGGTCATAGAGTTTCAGTTTTGCAAGATGAAAAAGTTCTGGAGCTCCATTGCACAGCAATGTGGATGTACTTGACACTCCTGGGCTGTATACTTGAAAATGTTTAAGATGGAAAAAAAATTTTTTTTAATAAATTTATTTATTTATTTACTTATTTTTGACTGTGTCGGGTCTCGTTGCTGCGCGCGGGCTTTTCTCTAGTTGCGGCGAGCGGGGGCTACTCTTCATTGTGGTGCGCGGGCTTCTCATTGCGGTGGCTTCTCTTGCTGCAGAGCACGGGCTCTAGGCATGTGGGCTTCAGTAGTTGTGGCATGTGGGCTCAGTAGTTGTGGCGCACGGGCTTAGTTGCTCCGTGGCATGTGGGATCTTCCTGGACCAGGGCTCGAACCCGTGTCCCCTGCATTGGCAGGTGGATTCTTAACCACTGCACCACCAGGGAAGTCCCTAAGATGGAAAATTTAATGTTATGTGTTTGTAACCACAATTAAGAAATAAAGTAAAAATTTAAAAAGAAACCCTAGGAGAAGTTCCCGTTGAAAATGAGAAATTCTTTGATAATGTGATTAATTACTTTCTTGGTTTTTGCATATGTATGTCTTTGACTTTTTTGTACATTGGATTTTCTTAAAGCGAGGCTTGCATGTAACTTGGGTGCGGGAGCTTCCAGTGGGTTGTTACAGTGACCCTACCCTGGTCCACCACTTCTTTCCCTGCATGTGGCATAATAGTGTGGGGTTGGAGTTCCCCGCCTAATGGGAGACTTAAGGTACATAGGAGGGCTCCCACTGACCGCCTCTAGAGGCAAATGATTTGACAGAATTGAGGCCAGGGGACTAGGCTGTCCCTTTCGTGAAGCCCAGGTGTCAGCAGTTTCTACATGTGGTCTAATAAAAATATATGTTTGGTCTTTGTTCCCAGTTCCGGCACAGAGTAACTTAAAACCCTTGGGATTTCTCGAGTGATAGATGTATCTTTTATTATTCAGTCACCAAAGGCCAATGAAATAATCAGTCATGACCATATAATGAAACCTCCATAAAAACCTCTAAACGACAGGGTTTGGAGAGCTTCCGAGTGGGGGAGCACATGAAGATGCCGGGAGGGTGGTGTGCCCTGTTGGGTATGGAAGCTCTGCCTCCCTCTCCCCTCATACCTTGCCTTAAGCATCTTTTCCATTTGGCTGTTCCTGAGCTGTATGTTTCATTAAAAAAAAAAAACAAAACAAACAAACCCAAAACCTGTATTTGTAAGTAAAGCGTTTTCCTGAGTTCTTTGAGCTCTTCTAGCAAATCATCAAAAGTGCGAGCCTCTGATTTATAGCTGGTTAGTTAGAAGTACTGGTGGCCCAAGACGTGTGACTGGCATCTGAAGTGGGAGCAGTTTTGTGGGACTGAGCCCTTTAACTTGTGGAATCTGGCACCAACTCCAGGTAGGGTGTGTCAGAATTGAATTATAGGACATCCAATTGGTGTCAGAGAAATGAAGAATAGATTGGTATCAAAAAACATCTCAGACTACATTCTTTCTCTTGGTCTGGGTTTCTTCCTTCTTGAGTAATCCAAGTAGAAGATGCCACCCCTGGAGAGAGGATAGGGGTCTCGGCCCAGCCTGGCAGTGGGGATGGAAATGTCAGCCAGGATGACCAAACAGGGGGCCCGTGTTTGGGCTATTGTGTGTCATACTCACCTTGACCGGCCATGTGGACACAACCAGGGTGAGCTCTTGCTGACCATCAGATGCCTCATTCCCACCTGTGACACTCAGAGAGAGACCATGAGCCTTGAAAAACACCATATTGTTTTGTGATGTAACCCCTGGAATGTTCTGAGTGTTTTGGTGACCAACTTCTGCATAGGACCTATACCTGGCACCTAACATTGGTATGGCTTTTTACTTGAGATAGAAATAATAATTTTAGAAAAGGTAGTAGGTATAGGTATCTCTGCTCCACAGACTTTCAGAAAGCTTTTCCATCAACTATAATACCTGTCTTAATTTCTGTTCAGAGACTGATAAAGCATCGTATCAGATAGCATCTTCACATTCTTTCAGACTCAAATTTTCATAATGTACATAATTAACAAGAGGGGATAAGTGAGTAGTAAAAAGTCCTCTGTTTTTCAGGTAAGAAGCTGAGGTCCAGAGGATGGGCTGGGAAGCAGAAATCTACTTATTTCCTCTTTTCCACAGCACTTGAGGCCAAATTTTACAAGAAAAAGAGATACCAGATCTGAAAGCCTAGAAATTCCAATCAGTGTGGTTCTACCTCAGGTAGAGATAATCACAGAAGGATGCAACCTCTCAGTTTTAGCCAGAATAGCCCTCCTCTGTCAAAACTCTAGCAGGATGTCACAGAAGGAGCAGAGTAGTCAGGGCCTCAGATTCTAGTTCTAGGTCAGCTGCCAGCCAGCTGTGTACCTGGGGGAGGCCACTTAGTCACTCAGCATGTTGGGTTTCTCATCCCTCGAATGAGGCGGGTGGGTTAGGTGATCTGGGAAGAATTTCCAGCCCTACCAGTTGAAGTTTCTGTGACTCTGGGAAATAAGCCAGTCTTCTCAAAATTAGATCTTTTGGTGCTTGCTGTTGTGCAACTACTCTGGATTTATGGGGGCAGAATTAGAACTGAGACTTGCAATCCAAAGCATACGACTGAATCCATGAACCTAGGATGTGGGCTGAGGGGTACAGGGTCATGCGGAGGGCTCAAGAGAATGAAGGCCTGCTGTATACCAAAGACAGAGAGAGTGTAAGAGGGGCGGGCCTGGGGGGTTCAGAATGGAGGCCACTGAACGGACGACAGGCTGGAGATTCTCATTTCTCCTCCTGCTAAGCAGCTGTTTCCTGGGAGGGGTCCTCCTGATTGGATTGTTCCTACTGCTGTGTCACAAAGGGGGCAGCCTTGCTTCTCCAGAGTCACCCAAGGCCCTGTTGGAAGATCATGGTGGTGCAACCAGAGGGGCTAAAATGTAGGGTGGAGGAATCCAGTGCAGAGGTAACTATCTGAAAGCTCCGTCCAGGGACATGTAGGAACAGGATTGATCGCCAGTGGGCATCCTGGGATCTTGGAGAGCATGAAATTAGAGGACACCTGCTGCCTGGGCACATGGGCAGATGTGCCTCATGGGTATACCTGCCAAGGGGGCACAAGTCCTGCGGCAGGTTCCAGACACCCGGCAGGGTACTCTAGGCTGGTGCTCGGGGTGAAGGGGGCGTCTGTAAGTTTAGATGATCTGAGCTGGGCCATCACTAGAGCTGTGAGAGGGACCAGTGTGCTGACTGGACCTCCCCAAATGAGGACTTCTCTGGCAGTCCAGTGGTTAAGACTCTGCACGTCCACTGCAGGGGGCACAGGTTCGATCCCTGGTCAGGGAACTAAGATCCCGCATGCTGCATGGTGTGGCCAAACAAACAAACAAAAACAAAACAAAACAAAAAACAAGGGGAGGAAGGGAGATTGAGCCCTGATTTGATCATGTGGCGGCACTGGGCCATGCAGTGCGAGGGAGAGATTGTATAGGAACGGGAACTGGGAACCCTAGGAAGCCCGCTAGTAATGTCAGAGCTGAGTTAAAGGCTTGAAGCCAGGCCAGTGCCCGCGTCCTCTGCTATGCCGCAGGCTGGGCACATGCCACCTGTTTCTTCCCTTGCTCTTAAGAGATGGTGCCTCTTCTCTGCCCATCTTCACCGCCTACTGTGAGCTCCCTGCATGTATCTGCCACATTCTGCTTCGTTTTGAGGCTGAGCCCATTCATTTGGGAAGGGGATTGCAGCAGCAGCTCTGTGTTTCCAGAAAGTACCTCTGGCCTCCCAGCTCCCAATCTTGCCTGGCGCTTCTCATTTACATGGCAAATGCCTATGGTTCACTATTTGTTTCACCCTTAGGTCTTTTCAGGTCTTATTGATTTCCAGTTTTTCTTCCTCACATTAAACATTTGTGTTTTCTGATCTATTTCCCTCCAACACATTAACTTGCCGGCCATCAGTGTTACTTCCTGCCCAAGCTCTCTGCCCTCCTGGTTCCTTTTGTGCATAATGATTCAGTTCTCACCAGCATTCCCATTTCCCCAGTGAGCGCTGTCTGTGAGTTTCATAAAGGCATTGTTTCCTGTGAGATCATTAATGAAGGATCTATACCAGGTCAGAATGAGCTCCCACAGCACCCCCCAGGGCCCCCCTCATCCCTGCTGTTGCCTTTTCTCAGTCCCCTTTGTTTGGGTTTGTTCTTCAGAAGCTGTGGAATCCACCAACAATGCCTGTGTCTCTACCAATCTGAATAAGTGTTAGGAGGAAGATTTCAGAAGATTGTGTGTTAAACAATTAGCTAAAACTACCAGATACATGACAGATGACATCTTCATCCTCTTTGCTGCTAGTGTTATGATTCTATCAAAATCAGTCACAGTGACTTGTGAATTATCCTCTTATCTGTTCGCATTTCTTAAAACCAACATTGACTTTCTCATGGTGCTCGAACGAACGGAGTTAATTTAAAAATATGATAATGAGACACTCAGCCTTGTCAACCTGGTCTGAAAATTAGTGGCGGATCCGGCTTTTCCTTCCAGCATTCCGGGCCTCTCAGCTTCACATGTTTGAAAAGTAACCCCAGATGGTTGAATGTTCTCTGACCGTAACCCTCAGTAATGCTGGCAAAGTAGGGCTTTAGAAAACTTGGTCAACAGGCTCGAAGTCTGCTGGGAGCATCTGGACGTCTCTTCTGGTCTGTGGTAGCCATACTTCTCCAGGAGTGGAGAGAACCTCAGCGCATGTCAGCTAAACTGGCTAGTCATTGTCTAGTCCTGTTGTGAACTATTTAGATGGGAGGCCAGCAGCCCCAGAAATTCCAGCCCAGAAGGTCCCACTCAGAGTCCTGGTCCTTAGACACCCCTTAGCATCAGAGAGAGACTTTGGTCTTATCACCTCTCCTTTGCCCTTGCCCTGTCCGCCCTTCCACTGGCTTTTCCTCCTCCACGGTCTCCACTTGCCACGCACAAGGCTGGTGATCTGACAGAAGCACATAGTTGGTGATTTCATGCATTTTCCTTCTAGGATCAAATGCATTTAAAAAGGAGCTGCCAGGGCTTCCCTGGTGGCTCAGTGGTTGAGAGTCTGCCTGCTAATGCAGGGGACACGGGTTCGAGCCCTGGTCTGGGAAGATCCCACGTGCCGCGGAGCAGCTAGGCCTGTGAGCCACAACTACTGAGCCTGCGTGTCTGGAGCCTGTGCTCCGCAACGGGAGAGGCCGTGACAGTGAGAGGCCCACAAAAAAAGGAACTGCCATGGAGAAGGCCAGGCCTGATGTTAAGGACGGATTCCCAACCATAGGTGGGATTCAGGCACCTATGAGGGAGATGTTGGTGCCCAGGGCCCTTCCTGGATCCTCAGCACTAATGCATCTTACTTAGGTCACAAGTGGGAGCACATTGCCCCTGAGGGCAGAGTCTCTTGGTCACCTTCCTAACAAAGCCAGATGCGAGGTGTGATGAGCGCCATGGCCATTTGTCTTCCCCTCCTGCATCCTTTCTCGTATCCCGTTCTTTCATGAGGAAGCCCCCCTCTTCCTCTCCCACCTACTGGGTCTGCATCTACATGTGAGGGCAGTTCCCACAGGTCAAGGAAGAGACCGTCCTTTCCTTCATGGGGAAACCAGGCCAGGCTTCTCTGGGGGCTTGGATCAGGCTGCTGTAGATTCTGCCTCCTAGGCTGAAGAGAATTTTCGGGGGTGTTCCAGGCGCTTTTTCTTGGCCCAGACCTCTTGGTGGGGCTCAACGACATCAAGGACAGATTAGTTTAGCCTGTGAAACCAACCCAGTGATACCACTGGTTGAGGAGACCCACCAAGAAGGAGCTGGCTTCAAACATTGGCTAAGGGGGCCTGGGATGTTTTACCTCGAGGGTTTGCTTAGCTCAGATGCTCACTTTTTGGAAGGTCCTTTTGTAAAGAAATACATTCAGCATTTGCTATAGTGTTTTAGGCCAGGAATGTTTAAGCTTTACTAGTAGAGCTGGCCATCTGTTTGGTCTTTTTAAAAATTTTTTGGCTCCGCGGCATGTGGGATCTTAATTCCCCGAGCAGGGATCGAACCCGTGCCCCCTGCATTGGAAGTGCGGAGTCTTAACCACTGGGCCGCCCGGGAAGCCCCTGTTTGGTCTTTATGACAGCTTACCGACCACTTTCTTAGCGTCTCACAACACCACCAGGAACGAGGCAGAGCAGCTACATGGGGGTTCATTTTAGAGGTGACATTCAGAGAAGTTAAGCGACTTTCACAAGAGCAGTCAAAGATGGGACTTTTAAGCCCAAACCTACTGGGAATTTAAGACCTCTAGCCTCATTGGATTATAGGTTCAAGATGGCAGTGTGGACCACCAGCATGCTTGTGTGCAGAGGACAGCTTCCTTTAGGGACTGTGTAGATGGACATGGGGAAAACCCCATGATGTAACAGCTCTGCAGTTTAAGAATGTGAGTTGAAATGTGGATAGGGCTTTCCTAAATAGACTAAAAATATTAAGGTAAACAAAATCACCACTTTTGAGGGCCCAGAATAGTATAATGTTAACAGTTTTGGGTAGTTCAATCTGATATCTCCTCCTTACCTTTCAGTGCACTTTGGTTGATTAGTGAGTGCATTGGCAAGGACTCATTACACCCCCACTGTATGTGAAATGTGTTGTTCTAACTTCCAGGACTAGGGATGTCAGAAAAAGTAAGGGACGGGCCACTGTGCTCAGATAATTACAATTTATTCATCTGGGGACAAGATGGGACAAGACGTACGAGAATCACTGCAAAGGAATGATATCAACACACATGCAAAATAAAATATCTGGGCATTATGAAGAGCTAGAATGAGCCTGCAGTTTGGAGTCAGATATCCTGGTTTTAAACCCTTGCTGGCTATGTGATCTTTGGTGGAACCATGGTAGCTCTTTTCAGTAAGATATTACTTATGACTATGGAAATCAGTTAGCATATCATCACAAAATAGTCATTCAGTGTTACTTCCTTTTCCTTGCTCTATACAATCGAAGGAAATGCTAAGCAACTTCTCTTCTGAATTCACAGTAACCATTCTTGCATGTCTGTAGCTCTCTATAAACAAAGAAGATGTCACATATTCTCCTTTTATTTTTGAACTCTACAAAAAAGCGTCTGAAATAAATAGGGCAGATGTTAGTAAAACTGCTGTGGATGGTTGCACAGGTTGTGCACTGCAACACCAGTTGTGAATGGCACCCTCTAAAGTTGGGCATTGTATAGCCTGCACAAACATAGGGGGTGGCTCTGAATCATGCTAGCATCCACATTTTCTAGATATGGAAACTGAGGCAGAGAAATTAAGTGATTTTGTAAAGGCTCTGCACTCATACAGCACAGACCCAGGACTCTTTTCAGTTTTATGATGTCCAGTCCCCTGTTCCCCATACTGTACTGCCAGAATTAATGCTTGCTGCACGTCAACCTCCCTCACTTACCCCATGAAATAATGGTTGCTATGCATTGATTTTCAAATTGATTGGAAGTTCCCTGAGAACAGATGCCAAATTAATGTTAGTTGATTCATTGACATAAATGTGATTTGGTGCAATAATGTTTAGAGTGGGAATAGATTAGGGTGAGAAGTTTTCACAAGGCCAAGAAAGAGATTTCCTTGGAGGACTAATAAGTCCAGCTAGGTTTGATTGGAATCAGGGAAATATGGGAAAGAAAGAATTTGTCTTGCCTCAATCCCTTCCCAAAGTTTAAGCATGATTCTTGGTATATCTGAAATCCTGTATATTTAGTATTTTCCCTTACATGGTCTCATTTTCAGAAAAAGAAAAGATGCTGCTCTGCTTTAGCCTTATCTTAATCCTATCCATAGGATGGTGGGTTTGATAAAATAGGTATATTTTTCTAATACCCATTAAAATAAATATATGACTTAAAAATTTTACAGTATTTAAGTGTTTTATCTAAGAAACGAGGCCATGAGGCAATGCTGGACTTGGCCACCTTTGGGGTCCTGTCTGGGGATAAGAGGAAGGATAGAAGAAGGACTTAGTCATAAGAGGAGCGTTTGGTCACTTGGTTAAGGGGGTAAAGGAGACCTATCAGTCCATGAGTATTTTCTGGATTAGGTGCATGGGCACAGAACAGAGACAGCACAGGACTTGCTTGGAAAGTGTTGGTCATTTAAGGGAGGGGACATGATGTCAGCTAGGTTGATAAAAGAGGACTCCTGGGGCCACAGTGGTGCCAGTTTATAAACATGGATCCCTTCGACCAGAGGAAGTTAGACAAGAGGATATTAGAGATAATGCTACTGACCTTTCATTATACAGAAGTGGAAACCAAGGTCAGAGGGTTAGAGGATGTAACCGAGGTCACCCAATGGCATGCGTAAGGACAAGGGCCCAAATACCCAAATTGTCTATATAGCTAGGGATCTGCCACCCACATGTTAAGTTTTTATTTAGTGCCTTTATGTTGAGGGGATAGTTGAAAATCCCTTGGGTACGCAGTTCAGGATATAAAATAAAGGCAGCTGACTGAGTAGGGTAATTTAAAGGCCATCAAGGTTACTATGAACGGGTATAAAGCACCAGAGGTTTCTCTTTGGTTGTTCACCTGGATCAGGAAGATTATCTTTCTGATAGAAATCAATCATAAAAAAGAAATGAGAGGGCTTCCCTGGTGGCGCAGCGGTTGAGAGTCCGCCTGCCGATGCAGGGGACGCGGGTTCGTGACCCGGTCCGGGAAGATCCCACATGCCGCGGAGCGGCTGGGCCCGTGAGCCATGGCCGCTGAGCCTGCGCGTCCGTAGCCTGTGCTCCGCGGTGGGAGA